ACAAAGCGGTAATCTAACTCAATATGTTTGGTGCACGCATGAAAAACAAGGTTGATAGCAAGATAGGTGGCAGAGATGTTGTCATAATAAACGGTGAGAGGACTATAAAGGGGGATCCCGAGCTTACGAAGTAAATAATGAATCCAAATAGTCTCAGCAACATAATGAGCGACAGCACGATACTCAGTCTCTGTACTAGAAGGAGCCACGGTGGATTGCTTCTTGGCACTCCATGAAACAAGATTGGTACCTAGAAAAACACAAAAATCCAAGGTGGACCGTCTAGTATCGGAGCATTCAGCCTAATCTGCACCCGCATAAGCAGTCAATGAAGTGGAAGAACACCGCTTAATGAGCAATTTATCGGTGGAGGTGCCAGCTAAATATCGGTATATACGTTTGACAGCCTGAAGATGAGGTAATTGTGGTTGATGCATGAATTGACTAACCAAATTCACAGTAAAACTAATATCTGGTCTGGTCATAGATACATACTGTAGAGCACCAACCATTTATTGATACAACGATAAAGTCTGTCGAGGAGAAGCGAGAACCTCACCATCGTTAGCGGACAATAAAGTCTTCGAGGCTAGAGGAGTAGATACAAGCTTGACCTTAACAAGGTCAAACTTGCGCAAAAGGCTATTAACATACTTGGTTTGAGATAAAAGTATATCGTCAGAGCGGTGATGAGCCTTAATGCTAAGGAAATAGTGAAGTAGTCCAAGATCCTTCATAGCAAATTCCTATGAGAGTCGAGTAATCAAAGACCGTAATAACTCGGGAGTATCATCGGTGACAAGGATATCATCAACATACAGTAGAAGATACACACGGCCTCGAGAAGAAGCATAGACGAATAACGAAGGATCGGCCTTACTCGCCATGAAGCCCAAAGATAATAAAAAGCTATTGAAGCAATGAAACCATGCACGTGGAGCTTGTTTTAAACCATAAATACATTTCTTGAGACGGCACACATGATTCGGGAATTCAGGATGAGAGAAATCAAGAGGTTGGCGCATATAAACTTTCTCACAAAGGATGCTGTGGAAAAGGACATTCTTGACATCAAGTTGACGTATGGTCCATCCCGAAGAAATCGCAATAAAGAGAACAACCCGAATTGTAGTGGGTTTAATGAATGGGCTAAAAGTCTCGTCATAGTCTAGTCTGGCTTGCTGCTTAAATCCCTATGCAACGAGGTGAGCTTTGAAGCGTTCCATCAGATTTTTCCTTAATCTTAAAAATCCATTTACAACCTACTAAATTCTTAGAAGGATCAGGTGGTACAAGATCCCACGTGTGATTTATGACCAAGGCATTAAATATGTCTGCCATGGCCGCTTACCAACGTAGGTCAAGAATGGCCTTAGAGTAGCAAGTCGGCGTCTCTTCATGAAAAGAATGAGAGAGATTAAAAATTTTTCTCGGTTTAGAAATTCCAAATTTGGCATTAGTCTGCATAGGATGAGTTGGAAGAGAAGAAATGGAAGTGGTGGGGCTAGATAGAGATGTAGCGGGGGTTTGCGGGTCTGTTATGGGAGGAATTTGGTCGAGAGATGAGTGAGGTTGGGACACAGTGATTGAGTTCGGAGGGAGGGTTGGTGGAGGTGAAAAAGAATTGGAAGTAGATTGGGTAGTTCGAAAGGAGGAGAGAGGCAAATTAGGAGGTTGGGCTTGAGAAGAAGAAAGAGGCGGATGAGGAGTTTGATGGCCAAAGGAGGTAGAAGGAAGAATAGATTGATTGGAATAAACAAAAAGTGAAGGAGTTGATCTAGAATAGTGAGGTACGGGACTAAGATTTGAAGGTTTTATTAAAAAGGGAAAATTCTATTAATCAAACCGAACATGATGACTGATAAAAACATGACCACTCGATCGATCAAGGCATCACATACCCAAGAAATATAGATGGCATAGAGTGAGGTGCTAGCTTATGAGAGACACAAGACAAAAGAAAAGGATAACAAGCACACTCAAAAACCCGAAAGAACAAGTAGTCAAACTTGAATCCAAATAAACAATGAAAAGGAGAAATATTAGATATGACAGGAGTGGGAAGTCGATTAATAATGTAGATAGCAGTGAGAAGAGCATCGACCCAATATGAAGGAGACATATGAGCATGGATTAATAAGGTTCGAGACATTTCAACTAAGTGTCTGATTTTATGATCCGATAGACCATTTTGAGATGGGGTGTGTGGACGTGAAAAACGTTGAATAATACCATTTTCACATAGGTTTGTTTGGAATGCATTACTGGTATATTCACCTCCCCCATCAGTTTGTAAAAATTTAATTTTGGTATTGCACAGATTTTCGATAAAACAACGAAAGCGATGAAAGTGTGTAGGCACTTCAGATTTATTTTTCACGGGAAATACCCAAGTGAACCGAGAATAATCATCAATGAATAACACAATGTATTTGAAACCAGAATCAGAGAAAATTGGAGTCGTCCATACATCAGAATGAATTACAACTAAAGGAAAAGATGCATGATGACTAACAGACTCAAAAGGCAATGGATGAGATTTGCCTACAAGACATGACTCACATGATACCGACTTATAACTAGAATTGCAAACATGACTCAAAGCTTGTTTATTTGGATGGCCAAGATGAGCATGCCAGCGAGTGAGTGAAGCAGAGGAAGCCATGATAAGATGTGAATGAGATGACACCATTGAGTTGGAAATCGGATAAAGACCATGAGAAGAATCAGCGTGGAGGAGAACTTTCCCGATTTGTTTGTCCTTCAAAGAAAAAGATGAACCATTAAAATCAATGGTACAAGAATGTTTACGGCAGAGTTGAGCAACTGAGAGGAGATTGCGAGCAAGATTAGGAACATGATAGATGGGAGATAATAATAAATATCGAGAACCAGTATGTAAAAAGGCTTCATCGACTTGTTTAACAAGCAATGAACCATCACCAATCGAGATTTTTGTCAAATCGTAAAAAAGGTCTAGGATTTAGGATGTTACCAATATCACCAGTCATGTGTGCCGATGTTCCACTGTCAAGATACCAAGTTGAATTAGAAGTCTCACCAACCGATAGAGCTAAGAACGAGTTCGACATATCAGTAGTAGCGGTAAAAAGCATGGTTGAATCGTTGGCGACATTGTAGTGTGGTGTGCCCGACTTCGTTACATATTTGGCAAGTAAGATGAGGCTTAGATCCGAGAATACCTCCTTGTGTGAAAGAGGGAACAGAGGGCTTCGAACCACCACGAGACCGACCGAAGGAGGTGGAGGAGGCATAGGGAGCCGATAATGATTTCGAACTAAACCGATCATAGGAAGATTGCCAACTCGATTTATCACACGAGAATCGTCCACCTTGTCCTCGACCAGATCTATGACCTCTAAAATTACGTCCATTTTGAGGTCCTCGAAATGGTGGACTAGGTGAAGTGGTATGACTGATCAAAGCATGATGAATATCGGATGAAGATGATGCACTCGATTTTCGGAGAAATTGTTCTTCTTGGATGAGGAGGCGTGACCGTAGATCATTAAAAGAGAGAATTGTAGGTCCGTTTGTGACCATGGTGACAAAATGATCATACTCAGACGGAAGCCTATTGACGGCTTGAATCACCAAGTTCTTATTAGAGACGAAGCAATTAATTGCGGTGAGAGAGTCCGCAATTGACTTTAGTTGCTGAAGATAATCAGACATTGACTGATCGGCTTTCTTCACAGCATTCTGAAAATCCAATTTTAGTCCAATTTCTTTGGCCGCGCAGTGATCGATAAAACGTTGTCCTAGAGCAAGCCAAATCTCCCGAGATGTCTGAAGGTCGTGAACTTCATGGAAAATCTCGACTGTGAGGGTCGAGTTGATCCAACTACGAATGCATTGATCTGTCTTTACCCAAGTGGAATATGAGGTATTGAACACTACAGTGCTAGTCTGATCATTGATAAGCTTTGGCGAACACGGAAAAGAACTATCCACATAGCCCAGCAGATTGTTGTAGATTAAAATAGATTCAAACTGAGATTTCCACAAAAGATAATTGTTTGCATTAAGTTTGATGGAGACGAGACTTGTGATTTTTGGGAAGAACAAGAGATGACAAGGATGATTGTACAATCATAATTTGAGCAGTAGCAGAGATCAGAGCAGCAGTGAAGAGGGAAATAGAGGTGAAAGTGGGCGCCATATTATCAGGACGCTATGGGGAATTGGGATTAACAGAAAAAATAGATGGTGGGTAAAGAGATGGTAGAGAAGGAGAAAAATTTAGAGATATATCGGACATTGTTGAGATAGTAATTGGAGCAAGGGAAGTGTTGATTTGGGGTAGAGATGTTGAAGAATTCGATCCGTTTTCTTGCTCTGATACCATGTTGATGTTTAGAGTCAGAGAGAAAACAACGACAAAGTGTTTATGGTAGCTCAATCCCAATTAGGGTTGTATGATATGTATTTATAGGGGTGACTAATTATAGAAAGGGTGCAGATAGAAACATAATTACGGAAATACCCCATAATACATATAAATTACACATTAATAGTTTTCATATGAATAACATTGTTGGGATATAAACTATGAATCTATGAATTTCTCCTTCGTTATGCACACGGGCAAACTAATTTTGCCATTTGTTTCCACATTAGCTGTCGAAGATCCTGGTCAGAGAGATCCAGCTGATAACTAAAAAACCCGTTTCAATTGTTCACTGTGGCTAATGTTTGATGGATCGGATATAATTCTGGATAAGATAAAATCCTTTCCTAGTGTTTGGGGCAATTCGAAATCCGTATTATAAGGATGTTACAATTTGAATAAAAAAGTCCCACCAAGGAGATGGGATAAATCAAGATATGTTTGATATTAAACTACCAAAACTAGCATGAGTCGCTGCGTGCAGCCACCACCTCCAGTAATAGCATTGCCAGCCAGCGCATGAGGACCACCACCACAATAGCTGATCATTGTTGCCTTCGACCAACGAGTGGGGACGGCCAGATCGCCGATGTTCAGGGTCACATCCCCAACCGAGGCCGTGATGTCTACTTGCAACCTCCTTGACACCCTCTCCCATGTCTTCTCCCACCACGGTTCCGCCTCCACCCCCGACACCTTCGTCCAATTTGGGGAATTTGCCACCGCTGTCCTCCACAGCCTCCTCATAGTCATCTCCTACAGCCCCTTCAATTGCGACAAGTGCGATATCATCTACGCCTTGATCGACATCGTCAAGAGCCCCAATTCGCCTCCAAGGTCCATCAAAGATGCTTTAAAGGCGCTCTTCAGGGCCTCTCTTTCTGCCCTCAACAGATCCACATGGGTCTGGCTTGGCTTTGTGGTTTCGCTGTTTGGACTACTCCTAAAGGAAGGGAGGGTTGGATTGGTGGAGGCCGCCGGCAGTCGTGGCACAGATCGCAGGGTGCGAAGAGAGTGAAGAGGCCTTCCGAAATGTGTCAGGAGTTGGGGTTTTGGTTGACTTGTTGGATGTCGCGACGGGTTCGTGCATGGTCTCTTCAATCCTATCTCATGTGCACTAAAGATTTTTCATAATCTGGAGAATTTCTAATCCCTTTTATCATATCCTATTTCAATTCACGTTCATAAAACCAAACGCAGCAACAGTAAACTTGAGGAAGTTGGAACATGGGCCGATCTAGTACATTAGAGTTGGGCTGAATTTAAGTAGTTAATTATCATTAGGTTGAATTAAGAGTCAACCATTGTTATTCAATACAACAATGATCAGGAAAAAGGACCCGGGACTTTGAACTCTTAAGAATGCGGCCTTGTTCGACTCGTTCAGAATGAGGAGGCCGAACCACCGATTTATGTGACCTGAGCTTATTTGGGCCTTTGTCTCATAGGCGGCTTTCTGACCATAGAGCGAAGACGAAGCAACAAGATTATGATTTTTAACGATTATTTTTAGAAAAATGTACTAAATGTTTGAATATTTTATCCAAAGCTGTTTGACTGGCTTCATTAGCATGGGGAGTGAAATCTCATGATTAAATGACGTGTTGCTATTCAAGTTTTTGTTTGGAATTTTGGATTGTGATAAGTATAGGTTTTTTGAAGGCCGTAGCAGAGAGGTGTTTAGGGATGGGCACGGGGCACAATATTATGATCCGTGCCCCTGGTGCCCCGCCTTATTCGGGGCTAATCGGCCAGCAAATGGAAAATGGGTTGATGGATCGGTAAATTTTTGCGGTGCGGGGCGGGGCCGGGCGGGGCGGGTATTAACCTCGCCTCACCTTGTGAATCCGCCTGCAAAGCAACTTGCAAGAAATATTAATAATAAGTACATTACTTGAACACAAACCATCTAATACATAATACTTATTGCTGAGCGAGTCATCATCTGTCATGGCCATTCACTTCCTTTACAAACTTTGTTGCCTTGGTGCACGGGGCAGTTCGTCCCTTCACGGTGCGGGGACTGTGATCTTTGGCCTTGCCCTGTCCCGTTCCCATTCCTGAGGTGTTTATTAAACACTACATAAAAGCTGCAACATTTTTTTGGATGATTACCGCTTGAAGTTGCACCATATCTCTCAACGACTGGTATAACCGTGCCTGAACTGGAAATGTGATGCGTTGAAGCTGTTCTGTGAAGTGTTGTAAATTACACGTTTGGTAATACACGTTTGAAAGCTAGGACACCTCAAAGTTTCAATGAGGCTGCTTCCTAAAAGCAGATGTAGTCGGTAGATTGTTTGATAGCTGGAGTTATTGTAGTCGGTAAAACTTTTGCTTTAGAAGCAAGACTTAGAAGTTGATGTAGTGGGTAAATCGTTTATGAATATAACAAGATATTACGGAACCAAGCGTAAACAAATTGTGTTGGAATTTAATCGTCGACAAAGCTTGAGTACGCAAAGATGATACGCCGGAATTTAATTGACGATGTAACACCTAGGATAAAGGTACAAGCTAGAATTTGATTGAGGACGCGGATCTAGAAATTACAGCTAAGAAACATGCCGAAATTTAGTCGATGACGCGAGTTTGAAAAATAAAAGTATAGTGCAAGAAAGTAAAGATAATTGAAATATAGTAGATTTGTTTGATTTGTGTGGGGGCTCTCTAGTAGATGGGTGATGGTATTTATAGTGATAGTGCTAAAACTGCTCCCGAGCAATTTCCAGCTGTTGCATCCATGTTCTTCTATCCCTGAAAGTTTTGCACCCATGTTCTCACGACGACATGATCTAGTTCACGAGCGTTTATTCCTTTAAAATGCATATTAGTTGCTACATGATCTCAATTGCTTTGTTCCCTAGTAACTTCTAATAGATAACCGTATCTTGATGCTCTTTATGTATTCAGCTTTCTTTTAACATCTTAACCACTTACCGATCCCTACTTATCGATACTCTTGTCGATTGTCGTTGATCAAACATCGCCATAGGTCGATAACCAGCTGGTGACAATTGTTGCTATGTGCCAACATTGATACCAATTTAAGTCATCGACATTGGGTCCCGTGCTTATCAATGTTTAATGTTCTAGTCATGTGTTTACTCATGTCAACAACCTAGTCACTTTTTGGTGCAACACCGATGTTTCTACCTCAAGCCAAGTTTGAGACATTCCGAAGCATGTTTAGAGTTTCACAAAAATTGATAGAAAGGAGTGTTGAAGTTTTGATAAACTACTCTAGAAAAGCCTACACTCTAGTCTTGTAGGTGGTAGTCGAAGTTTGTGGTCAAGGTTAAAAACAAGAAGAAAATCTCAGACAAATGCAGAGATGATTTGCGGTAAAAGTAGGTGATTGGAGCCTACAAGATAAGATAGACTTGGATGTACTGTCATGAACACAGAAAAGAAACCAACTACCAAAACTAAACCCATCAGCCCTGTCATCCTTTCTGAGTAAAGTTAAATTGTTTTCTCCCACCCTTTGCTGTGTTGTCCCACAAACATCCATGCGCTCGCATTCATATCAAAATGCATTCCAAATTCCAACACAAAATTCTATTATCTTTACACCGACGATTGTGCTTTCTTTTTCCTTGAAAAGAAACGGTTATAATGAATGTTAAACTACCTAAAAAACAAGGCTCCCCAGCAATGCACAGGTTAAGGGAACCGTGAGATTGTCGTCAAGCTGAGAGCTCAGAGAATGTGATTCCACCAGTGCAGAAGCCAGAGACACCATCAAGAAACCCGAAACCATCTCCCAACTTCCTCGGATATAACCAAATGAAGAAAAATAGGACATAAACCTTGTAAACATAAGCAAATTGTACCCAGTCAGGGCACCACTCAAGCAGATATACACAGAATCCTAAAACACCCAACTGAAGATTACCCGAGAGACGCTAAGAACCCAGCACAGCCCATTGCAATGCTACCAGCTAACGATTTGTTGCGGTTGTAAGGAATTTTATGTTGGCCAAGCCGCCTTCCAATAATGTCTGCAAAACCTGAAAACATGCAAAAGCAGGTGTCTCAGTGTAGGCTCGCCTGTTTTTAATTTTAGGATGTTCAGGCGAATTATGTAAATCTTCGAACCGACAACCACTTTTCTTGTCACACAGTTTGATATCTATGTATCGTTCTAAGCCTTGACCAAGGATAACATCATCTATTCTATTGAATTGAGGAGATACCTTCATACCATTATAATTTTTGGCATTAACCACTGTAAAAATACTTCTCAAGATTAGACCAATGACATTGAAGAAGTCCTCAGTATGTCCTCCCTTAGATTTTGCAATTACAACGTTGATATGCCGGTATAACAAGCAAGAAAGAATAGGAGTTCAGATTACTACACCATCTCCAGCGCAGAGGTTGCATATTGCTGCAATTGCTATTGGCGAAGTCCTCCAGTAATATGCACAAGCGAATGTAATTGTGAGAGCATAGTATAGCGGCCCTTCAAGAAGTTCCCTGAAAGAGAGATCAAGATAATTTCAAGGTTTCAGAAGTTCAGTAATATTTCAAGGAAGCAAAAAAGAGAAGGAAACCCACAAATGACCAATAATGAAAATTTAAGCTAGATCAAATTGCTTGATAGAGTAGATCACTTATTGAGTAACTAATTTAGGAAATCGGTATTGTAATTATGGTAATATAGGGGATGTAATCTTATCAAACCTAGTTCACTTCTGTTGTCAATGCAATGCGGATACTAAATAACTCGAGTTACAAACCGGTGTTGCCCGAATCTGCTCATAGACTTCACTGTCGCTTCATCTTTCCAAATACCAGATCCCACAAGAAGCATGCGTATGATGTTAACCCCCGGAATTGTAGCAGCTAACAGCGCACCTCGATGCCCAGAACTGCAATTTATTAGCAATAGCCACTTCACCAAACAAATAATCCTGCAGGAACTTTGAAAAAAGTCGCATAGTCTTGAAATTACCTGAACAATGGCCAGCAAAGCATGAAAACTAATCCAAAGCTTACATGCAAAAGCTTCCTGTTAAGTTTCTATATGAGGAAAAAAACAAAGACATTTAGATGTAACGAACAGCTTGACAACAGCAATCAACTCCAGAACTACTTTGTCTACAGGGACTGCTTTGCGATGTGATTTGTTTTTTTTAATAATCTACGGCACGGATGTGGAGGCCCTGCTATCCGAAGGCTTATAGAACACTCAGCAAACCCCTTAGACGGGTTAAGTCAAGATCTTAGGCTTTGAAAAAAGTCGCGTAGTCTTGAAATTACCTGAACAATGGCCAGCAAAGCATGAAAACTAATCCGAAGCTTACATGCAGAAGTTTCCAGTTAAGTTTCTAAATGAGGAAAAAAACAAAGACATTTAGATGTAATAGACAGCTTGAAAACAGCAATCAACTCTAGAACTACTTTGTTTACAGGGACTGCTTCGAGATGCGATTCTTTTTTTTTAATAATCTATAGCACAGAGCGGAGACCTGGCTATCTGAAAGCTCATAAAACACTCAGCAAGCCCCATAGACGGGTTAAGTCAAGATCTTCGGCATGTGCAGGTGGCCATGACTTAGTTTGCGAGTGATTAATGGGGTTTGAAAGGATGATCTCCAGTTCCTCAGTAAAAATCCCTCTGACACCCCGACCCAGGGTTATTAGAGATGCGAGTAAAATTTGGTCTCAGGAGTAAAAGGAAATATCTGAGCATCCTGAGACAACATCGTCGGCAGGAAAATCATCAAACAAGGAAAGAAAGAAAGGTGTAATCCTATCCGAACCTGATCAAAGAGGCCTAGGTTAGCTGTTTCTTCAAACAGCCAGAGAACCGAGAGAGCGATGCCGCTGGACACGGCTGTAGCAAGTGCATCGGACACGACCGGATTCTGATGGAGCATTATGACAGCTGGTGAAGTCGCCGAACTGAGGTTGGATGAGGAGGAGGATAGAGAACCAAATTAGGTGCTCCCTCCCATTCTTCTCCCAACTTTCCTATCCTTTCCCAAACAAGAGAAAATCCCAAATTTTCACCCAGTTCTTCCCCTTCATTTATTTCATATCCATTCTGTCCTTTCCAAACAAAAAGTAAGAGTCTTGTCTTGTCTTTTTTCTTCTGTGTTCCTAACTACTACCCTTCCAAAAGGTAATGAATAGTCACGAAAGTGATGCCTCCTTCAGTGCCTCAAATATGAACAAAAAAGGAAGTTGGCCGAATTCTACCACGTGATAAAGAGTCTATCAAGTGCAGGTGGTACAAGAACAATTAATTTTGAGTGCAAGTAGGGCATTTTCACTAATCTGTCCTCAAAATCATGTATTAATCTCTTTAAAACTAATCCAAAACTTACACGCACAAACTTCCTATTAAGCTTCTAAATGAGGGGAAAAACAAAGGCATTTAGGTGTAACGAACAGCTTGAAAACCGCAATCAAATCCAGAACTACTTTGTTTATAGGGACTGTTTCAAGATGCAAATTTTTTCTTTTAAATTTAGGGCATGGATGTGGAAACCGGCTACCTGAACATTCATGGAATACTCTACAAATCTCATGATTAGTTAACTCTAGTCTTTAGCATTTGCAGGTGGCTATGTTAGGTGGGATTTGAACATGTAACCTCCATTCCTCAGCTAAAAATTATCGACACTCATAACCAACCGAGTTTTTCCCGGGTTATTTGAGATGCAAATGAAATTTGGTCTCATGATTAAAATGAAACAACCAGGCATCCTGAGACAGCATTTTTAGTAGTAGAGATGTAAAAAGAAAAACGTTCAAACCAAATGAAAACCCGATCTCAAAATGACCCGAAATTGGTAGTAAGTAAAACAACGGGCTTATGATAATGTGGTTCGGTTTCGGTCATAACTTCAAAATGCAATATGGAGCTTGTTTCGAAACCAAAGCAATTAGAGAAAGTGGTATTTACTAATCCAATTTGAGCTCGAGTTTCATCGACGTCATCAATCGTGTCTACAATGAATTTGTCAAGCTCGTCTACGTTTACGCTGCCATTATGTGGATGCGAGCTCCGCTGTTGGAGCGGAGGGACAAGATCGAATGATTCAGAGTAAGAGAGAAGCGATCGCTCGTGGCTCTGCGCAATGGTTTGAAGCACCGGTCGGAGGCCGCATCTGCGAGGAAGTTGTTGGAGCTGTCGCTCAACACGTTTCACGTTGTATCTAAGGTCGAGAAAACTGATAAGGAGCTACCAAGCGTGCCTGTTGATTGGTCGAATGGGGATGTGAACCCCGCAGAAATTGGCTCCTCCACGAGTAACGCAGATCTATGAAAAAGGACAACCCGACCATATTTGGTTTGGGTACTACGTGGGTCGGGTCACAAAATCCTTAATGTCCGAATCGGATTGGGGTATAAATGAAGACCCAAATCGAACTGGCCCATTGACACTCTAGTCAACAAGAAAAATCATCGCACAAGCAAAGGAAGACGGAGTAATCGTATCCGAACCTGGTCAAAGAGGCCTCGCTTAGCCGTTTCTTCAAACAACCGGAGAACCGAGAGAGCAATGCTGCCCGACACGGCCGTAGCGAGTGCATCGGACACGACAGGGTTCTGGTGGAGCATAATGACCGCCGGAGAAGTCTTCAAACTGAGGTTGGATGGTGAGGAGGAGGAGGGAGAGGACAGAATGAAGGGTGAGATTGCAAGTCCTTAGAAGTTAGGAAAATAGGTTCAAGTCACGTCGCGGAGCTCGATAGCTGGCAGTGAATTCAACTGAAGCAGCCCTCGTTTTGGTTTGTAGGGCCGGCGCCAATAGGACTTGAGTGGTGCTCAAATTTTGCAGGTCTCATAGTCATTCCTAGTTTAGATTTGTTGTGCACAATTTAGGGGAATGAAAATAGTGGCTGTGATCAATTTAATAGAAGAGAAGTACAATGTGTATTTTTTGTTGGGAATTTCCTGGAGAAAAAATGCATGCAGGATATGTGTTTGAAATTAAATGGGATTATTACAGTAATTAGGTACACAGGCACTGTGTCTATTAATTGAATTAGATACCCTAAATCCGAAAGAGGTCCAAAACTTTATCCCAAAAGAACTCATATTGCTTTTTTGGCTAGAATCCCAAAAGAACTCATTACTAGCCCGTAGCCCCAATTATTTAAGGCTACGTTTAATAACCCGGATGAAATTTAGGATATGATAACATTTATTTTATCTTGTATTTGGTTTCTACCCAAAATAGGATAAAGTCGAATGTAAGATGGACATAGCCTGGACAAAAATATCCCATGGGGAAGGTGTGATAAAAGTGGATATGATTTCTTATATTTTTCTCAAATTACAAAATTCTTAAATTAATAAAATTAAATAATAATTAAATATAAATAATGTTTGAATTTGAATATAAAATAGAAAATTAAAAATAACAACAAAAAATAATGGCAATTTTCCTTTTTATTTATTTTCATTTGTATTTATATATTTGAATTTCTTTCTATCCTATAATATATATTCTATATATATTTAGTATTTAAATTTATCACATAATTTAGGTATATTAGTATATTTTATTATTTAATAAAATTTTATTTAGGAATGATGGAAAGGCGAGAAAATCGAAGCATTATACTTTTCAGAATCGCAAAGGTAAATGATCATATTTTCTCTCTCTGATGAGATTCAACATTTGCTAGCTGATCTACCTCGCCGATGTTACCGTAACGCATTTATATTTGTTGTTATAGTCGAACCTATAACTCTAGAATACTACAATGAGCTCTTTTGCTGTTGAAGATTTAGATCGTATAACAATCATGGATTTATTGATAGAGGTTATCTTCGCTTGTGCATTTGTGGTTTCTTTAGCAGTAGATCTTGAGAGATTTTCATTATTTTCGTTCGTGCATTTTCAAGTTCATTTACATTGATATGCTGTTCATATCAAACAATGGACATAATAGGAATGAAAATGTCCGACTTTATTACTGCCATTCACCAAACAATGAATAACATATAACGAAATTCTTGGATTTCATTTCCAATTCTGTCCAGTCCTATCCCGACTAGGAATTCAGGTGACCAACGTAGCCTAAGAGGACCAAAAAGAAAAAAAACAATAGGAAAAAGAAGATGAAACCGCAGCTACACCTACTCCGAAAGGAAACCAGGTTGTTTGAGGGATAAAGAATGGTCACACATTTTCCCCAATTTGAAAGGAAGCCCTAACACAAGCCCCTTTAGTCTACAGCCTTAGGTGGTTACCTTATTCGATAGTGAATATTTTACATGCCAAACTATTAGTAAGCTACTAAAGTCTAGTTGTTTACACCAAAAAGTAAAAAAAATCATGGAAATAGGCATCGGGAGCTTTGGCGTCGGTAACTTACCGCTAGTTCACAACTTACCGATAGTGGGTGAGCAAAAGATTGGCATCAGTAGCTTACTGATAGTTAGGTGTCAATGACAAAACTGCTTATGGATAAGGGTGGTTATTTGAACGTGGAGAGTGCCTAGAAAATAGGAAGATAATAACCACTGTTAGGAAGTTACTTTTTATTTAAAATTTAAAAGTTGTAAACGCTTGTACGAGATTATAAATATCCCAAGTTTGTATATTGTAAAGCCCCCCTCAACAACAGAACTTACGTTCTTTATCAGTTTATCTTTCTTTTATCTTTACATTTCCTGCACTCGTACCTTTACATTTGGCCAAGGCCATTATTTTCCTGCAATTTACAAGCTTTAATTCTTTAGGAGTAGTTCTAATGCTCAGATTCACGTCGCCGAGTCGTCCTCCGATATGAATCTTCATCCTTGGTGCTTCGTCGTCGAGTCAAATCCCGGCATAGTACCGCCGCTCTTTCAAGCTTCGTCCTCGAGTCAAATTCCGTCGAAGTTTGTTTCGATAGTACTTCCTAAACTTTTCCGTCGAGTCAAACTCCGGTTTGGTTTAGGTTTGTATAATTCCACGTTGATTTTTATGATCGCTTGGATATTTCCTGTCAAATCACCACAGAACCCGTCCTTCAATTAAAAGCCGAAGATCCATTTTCGGTGTTTGTTTCCTTACGAATTAAATTACGGAGAAACACTAGTTGAGAAAAATGAAAAAAAATTCCCTTGGTTTATTACTTTTTCAAGTTAGCATTCATTCTGTCTTGTGCAAGAATTAAGGAGTTTTCTTTATCGTACAAAACCTTTTTTCTGTTAAGAAGTTTTTATCTTTGCATCGTTTTCCTTTTACTTAAAACAAATTCACCATAGCAACATATTTGTTTCACGTTTTTATCCAATTACTTTCGGGTTGAACATTTATACGTTAATTGCTCTCTTCACTTTCGTCACAATTTTCTAAGCATTAAAATAACAATCAACATTATTGAGTGGCAAGGTTCGGTCGCACATTCAACATATCATTCGGACGATTAGCTAGCCTTGCGGCTGCAAAAGGATTAGACGTCCCCCCATGCTTCGGTATCTATTGTCCGGGGAGGCTATTTTCATTTAGGAAAAATAAAGAAAAAGCGAAAGAAATGACACATTTATCCTTCAAAAAACCATTACAAAGATGTTTGAATTCGTAGTTATAGGTCAAGGCAAGGGTAAATATGTCATTTGGCTGCAATTCCCGACTTATTTTTTTTTATGTTATATCAAATTTGGAGAGAACCAAATCAAAAGCGCCCTAGAGAAACTAAATCTCCAACGATTTTTAACCCAAATTTTCCTATGCTTTCCAAAACAAGAGAAAATCCCGATTCTTCCCCCTCTTCTTCTCCATCTTTTCTTTTCCTACCCACTCTCTCCTTTCCAAACGAAAGTTAAGAGTCGTGACTTCTTTCTCTTTTGCTTTCGTTACTACACTTCCAAAAGGCAATGAAGAGTTACCAAAGTGGGAAGAAACCTACTATGCAACAAAGAGTTCATCAGGCAAACTGTTGACAAACGTTTTGGTAGCATGGGTGCAGATGCAATGGTACATTCATAATTGATTTTGAGTGCAAGTGGGGGGGTTTTTACAAATGCGTGCCCTCAAAATCATGCATTAATCTCTTTAAAATGAATAATTGGATTATTCAATCATTACTTATATATTTCTCGCATATTATCTATTGCGTAATGTATGTATTTGCCGCGTTTTTGTACTAGCAGAAGTCCAATGACAACTTATAGGAGAACATGTCATTCACAGACTAATAGACAAGGAGTTATTGTGGCATGAATGTTGTAGACCAGCAGTGCAATTGGGCGTCGCGTTATAATTATTGTGATGACCTAACTCATTCGTCGGTGGCACAGCCTTCGGCAGGCATTTTTTCTAAAAGTTGAAATACGTGACAGCTTAAAATAAAACTCAAACTTTAAAATTGAAATAGGCGACAAACTAAGTTACGTGACAAAAAAATTGTAGTGATAGAATATTTTTAACTAATTAATTGAAACTAGTTTGAAGATGAAGAACATGACCGTGATCTCTTGGAGAACCTCTTTGCTTTATATAATACTGTAGATCTTTGAGAAAAGTCAACGGGTAATATGTTCTAGAATGAACTGGTCCTAAGAAAATACAACAAAACAACTCATTATAGGAATAAAATGCATTTAAAATTATTGTACATAATCATTTATGCCAAGTGAGGGTTGCTGTTTTGAACTGATGCAGAAGATAATGAATTTTGCAATTAAAATCTAGCGTGAGACCAAAAAAATTACTAGAGAAGTCAACGAAGAACAATAAAAAACACTAGAGATTAACGTGGTTTAGTCTGAGTGTCGATATCTACTCCATGGGAAGGTCAACCGCAAAAAAAGCACTATCGATCGTAGAGTTACACAATTATATTTAATCACTCAATCTCTTATGTGATTCCAAATACCGAATACACCAAATTTCACAAGCTCTTGTGATTCTCTCACTGAGTTTCGCAGGAAAACCCTAAGAAAAAAAATCTCACAAAGTTGTGTTCGTGTATCTCAAAAAAGGTCTAAAAATTTGATTCTAAAACCGAGTGGCTTCGAGGGTCGGCGTGACATTCAAGTGCCCGCCCAAGTTGGGCCAGGAGCCCTGGACATGCGTAGTGAAAACTGTACAATCCGAACAAGTAGGCGGCAGCGGGAACCTAGACAGATTTATCTGCAAGCCAGAGGCTAGGCCGAATGCCCAGCCATGAGCCCGACCAATGCCCTATAGCATTTTGGCTATCGGGTCATTTGGCCAGTAGCCGGAGCACCTAGTCCTTTCCACATTCCTCCCCCACAATGCCTCCTAACATGCCTCAGACTTACCTTAATATCCGCACTTCGGTACAACCCCGAATTTGGGTAGAACTTTGAGCACAAATCTCCATCTTGGCTCAAACGTTCGCAACCAAAGGATAGTTCTTTTCTTCCATGCCGGCTCTCCCAACTCTCTTGACGGGCGTTCAAGCTCCGACGATGCCAACTGAGCTCTAGCAAAGCTCGAGCTTCGCTATAGGAGTAGATT